TCACTTCTTTAGTATCGACGACGAATTGATTTATCAGAATTTCTATAATGATTTTGGTCCACTGAATCTCGCCTGCTTGTACAAGTATATAAGATGCTCGAAAAATCGTTCATCAACTCCATTCATAATCAATTGAACAATATCGACAGGTATTGCTGTAAAGTAAATGAGAAGTTGAGGGACAAGGCTAACAAGCATAAACAAATCGTCCATTACACGTCGCAGAATCAACATAAAAAAGCAAATGCCGCCTTTCTAATAGCATCGTATGCGATTCTTTATTTGAAAAAAACACCGGAAGAGGCATATAAGCCACTCGTATGTGGGAATTTACATATGCTGAAACCCTTTCAAGATGCGTCGATGGGCGTGTCGATTTATAATATCCATTTAATAGGTGATTAACGTTGAGTAAATTGTCGAATAAGGTATAGAGAACCTCGTATTAAAATTAATCCGTATTACGATCGCACGGTTAGACTGTTTGAGTGCAATTCACAAAGCCGCGGCATTTGGATTCTTCAATTTCCAAGATTTTGACGTGGCCGAGTACGAGAAGTACGAGCAAGTGAGAAAAGGAGATTTGAATTGGATGGTGCCTCAAAAGTTTCTTGCTTTTGTTGGACCAAGTACGGAAGCTGGTTCCATTTATCATCCACCTGAACGATATATAGATTATTTTATAAAAAATGACGTTGCTGCTGTTGTCAGACTGAATAAGAAGTCGTACGATGCGTCTAGGTATGCAGAAACGTATTGATTAATATCGATGACCGTTATCAATAATTATTCTATATTATAATTTTTCATTTGACAGATTCACAAGGGCTGGAATAACACATTATGATATGTTTATGCCTGATGGAAGTGTACCGCCGAAAAAGATACTTAATCAATTTTTACAGCTTGCAGAATCAACGGACGGACCCATTGCCGTGCACTGCAAGGTAAAAGTGTGGTTATGGTTATTGCACTAATTTATATGTAGGCTCACGTAAGAGTGGTTGCAAAAGATCTTTTTATAATTTACAGGCTGGTTTGGGCAGAACTGGTTCACTAATTGCAGCCTATTTGGTGAAGCATTACAGAATGACTGCAAGAGAAGCAATTGCTTGGCTGAGAATATGTCGACCTGGATCTGTCATTGGACATCAACAAGCCTGGCTTGAAGATATGGAAAGTATACTGTGGCGTGCAGGTCAACATTATAGGTACCAAAAAGAATTATAAATCCGGAATGTGTTTATTTGTCAAAAAATATGCATTGAATTTTATAGATTAAAGTATCATGGAAATGGCGACATGATAGCGCATCATAAACGAGGGATATATTCGATCGCGATCAAATTGGAGAGGAGTAATTCGAAAATTGATAATCCTAGGCATCACTCTAATGCTGGTGTTTTTCCTTTTCTTCGCGAATTTTGGTCATTTATAAAAATAAAACTTGTAACGAAAATAACGAATTTTTTTAACATTGTAGAACAGAGAATGATTAACAATGGAGATTTGAAAGAGATCGTATCGGACCTACATAACCGCGAAATAAGAACGTTAAACAAAATAAATAAATGCGGTTTAAAAGGAATTTTAGGTAAGTTTTTGGAAGATAGGATCGTTTATGATTATATAAATTTTTATAATTTTTAGGAAAGCTCCGGAATATCGAGGAAGATGCATCGACTAATTCCGATCAAAGAATTCTGGGCATTCAAAGATGTAAACCAAAACTAAATTCAGAAGCATACGTCTTGACACAGGGCGATCGATTAAACGAAATCAAAGTCAATAGAAACAAAGCGCCTATGAATTATTCATTGTGTTCTAGAAGTACCTCGCCAACTCCGCCATTGCAAATGTTCAAGAGACTACAAAGAAAAAGATAATGTGCAATTATCATTCAACGCATATCAGTAAGAAACGAAAACTCGACGAATTCATACACAATAATAATAAATTGTTCCTTACCATAAAGTATAGCGATTCCATACATAAAAAAGATTTTATGTCATTCACGTTAACGTATAGAATAACTGAAAGTAAAGTTTATAAAGTAATTATGTCATTGGATACACTTTTCATAATGATTTTTCAAATAGGAAAGGTATTCAAACACAGCAGAAGCTTCGTCGTGTACAAATTTATTTCCCAAAAAACACAATATTACATGTAACGGTGCGAATTTCTAATTCACCATT